GCTGTGTTGCTGTTTGGATTTGGGCTCAGCGAATGGCATTCACAGCCCAATATCGATGCCACAGAACGGGGACAGGTGTCAGGCAGTTGCAACCATAAAGACTGGCTGTCCCCTGCCCCCTTAACCCCGGGGAAACCCGGCTATTTCCACTGCGACCCCATAATTTAGACGATTGTCAGCGTCAGCGAAAAACTTGGCTAACTTCAGTTGCTGGGCCGCACCCATTAATTATTTTAAAGTAGTTGGCCGACGCGATGTTGCCTTTGCAACATTTACCAGAGCCGCCGCAGATTTATTGACTGTGCCACAAAACTTTTAGCATACAACAAACTATTTGTTCCCCCCCATCTGCCCCACTTCTCCGTGGGGTTCAAAAAGGTTTTAATAGCAAATGTCGGCAATTTGTCGGCGGCGACAAAGCGAAATGGCTTTTAAATGGAGGTGCCCCCTCATGTTCAAAGGCGTATCCCGCCCCCACATGCACTTATTGATTCTGTTCGCAGAGCTGGGGGGTGGGTGGAGCACATGGATAGGGGGCCAAAGGTTAATTAATTAATTGGCTGGGCAGGTGAACTTAGGAAGGAAATTGAAGTAAGGCTGGGGGAACAGATTTTGTGGAAGTTTTGGCATGGAGGAAGCAATGCAAACAGTGGGAGGAGTCAATGGGTGGATTCAATGGGAGAATGTGGTTGTGGGTACTCCATGGGAGCTGCTAGATGTCTATAAGATCTATGCTAATTTTTTAATGATCATTTAGAAATATAACAAAGGAGGGGCTGCATTGGAAGACATGCAAAGATTGACTGTGTGGCTTGTTATCTCTCACTATTCTGCATAACTTTACTCATCATAATATATCTTTAAAAACCCTTAAAGCTCGCTACATACTTCAACAACTCATCAGAGGATGGGCAACAATCAGTAGCCTCATCATCATTATAGCTCCACCGATTTCTTATTTCTTTTTCAATTTTATTTCAAATTCATAAACCGAAAGTTGCTCCACTTGCCACACCCCAAAAGCAGAACACAAATGATTTGAGGCATGTACACATATATATATATCTGATTCATGGCCAACACACACCCACCTTTAGTCCTCCAGCTGCCCTTAGGGGCCAGCCACCAAGAAATTAGAGCAAAGACATTTAACGAGGTCCCGGCGCCCAATTCTGTTCCCAAAAACGTCTCTTAATACAAATCGCTTGCCATTTATCTTGGCCCATTAATTTATAAATATAACTAAGGCAGATTCTCTACAAAAAAACACACACCCAAATAAAAAACTGAAACCAAGAAAGCAGCGAAACGAACCTGAAGCAATAAAGCTTCCATGGGTTGCGTGCCCATTGGGGGCGTGGCCAGGGAGTACGCCAAATGGGCGCTCATTAATTTCCACAAAATGAGAAAAATTTTCAAATAAACCCAAAATGCATCAAATTGAATTTGTTGCCGCTGCGATCGGTGGCGTGGCCTGGCGTGCTTGGAGATTCGTGCCTAATTAATGTTAATTTCCTCGCTGCTCCCCTCGGACGGGTAGCCACATAAATTTTCCACTCCAGCAAATCCACAATTATACGAAATTAACAAATCATTTGTGCGGCAATCTGTCAAAGCTTCTCCTGTGCGCGGGTTCTGTAGATTCTCTTAAAAATGATCATATGAGAATTTAAGCAATTTTTGTGGAGTATTTGGAGTGTTATATGTATGGTATATCGAAACTTTCGATACTCCCGCACCCTTAGAGGAGCTATTAACTATGATAAAAATACTGTCGAGGATATGCCAGTAAGCAGCTGATAAAATATCTCATGTCTGGTGATGGGATCTTCAAGATTATCAAGCAATAAACAATAGCCTACAACAGCGTTTGCCAAACCCTCTTTTTATTTCCATTAAGGACCTCATCCCTACAACTGTATGCCTAGCATTATAAGTGAATTTTACTAGCAAGAGCGAGACAACCTGCAGTTCTGAAGCCTTGATGTTGCAGCCCGAACTGTCGTTTGATGGGTAATAAGCAAAAAGTTCGTCCACTGTAGCCGCTGGTATGGAAATGCACGTCAAATGAAATTAATAACTATTATTTAAATGAATATCAATATTAATTAATATTTACCCGCTTTTGCTCAGGGCATTCCATGTTCGTCACAGTGGCTCATTTATTGCTACGACTATTTGCGGTTTGTTTGCGAGGCGATCATTAAATTGCAATTACGTAATTGCAAAACAAGCAGTAAAGTTCGAGGCGTCATCAGCCGGGTCGTGTGTGTGCATTTCCAATTAAAAAAGCATTAAAAAAAACTTTTTGCCCATGGACTTGGCCAGAATTGGAATTGCAATCGGAATCGGAATGGGCTTGAGCTTCGGATGGAGCTGAAGCTGGTGCTGGAGTAGAATAGCACCTCACCTGCCAGAGGAGATCTAGTTGGGAGATGGGTGTTGTTCCATGAGTGGGAAAGATCTTTCCCTGGCTTAGTTCCAATCGATCACTGTGTGTGTGTGTTATTTATGGCGGCAAGAAAATTAACTTTTCCTTCTGGCTGACATGGAAACCAATTTGCCAATTGACGCCTCAACCACTTCCAGGCATCTTTGGCAACGATTTGACTTTGGTTTTGGGTTTGGGCTAGCTCTGGTCCGTCTTTCAATTAAATTTATGTTCGGGCAGAAGGCGCCAGGCCAGGCCAGGCCAGGCCCATCCAGAGCCACGTCCCGAGCCCCCAGAGCCAGACACTGACTGAGCAATCGCTGATTTATGGCCTGGAAACGAAGGCGGCAGCTGAATGGAATGGAAAACACTTTGCAATTATTATTGAAAGTATTATTTTTATGGCTGTTGCCGTTGTTCGCGGCTTGTATCGACCGCCCACGATGCGACGCCCGTCGACGGTGGCTCATCGGGTGCGCCAAATGAGGTTTAAACTGCAATTTCGTTTCCATTTGGCAAACTTTTCCCCATACAAATTGCCGCTAAATAGCTGAAACCTGACACGGCCTACGCCGTTGCCAGCACGTCCACGTCCGCGCCCCCAATGTTGCTGTTGCTGTTGCAAGCTTATGCTGCCGTTTTTGCCTGCTGCACTGCGGCAAATGTCAGGACCATCAAATGTCGTCACTCTACCCCCAAAGAGCTGTCAAATTTGCAGTGCCTGCCGCACTAATGACGCCCTTAATATGCTCCAAGTGCCCAGACCTGGCCTGTTGACTTGGCCAAGCGCCATTTCCCTCTCATTTGAGCAACAAAATTTTATTTTCAAAGTCATCGTCGTCATCGTCATCCAAGCTGCCAGACATGCCAAAATCAAACGAAGAGGTTGGCCAAAGTAAAAGCCAAGAAACTGCTGTGACGGGGGGCAAGTCGAATGGGAAATACACTTTTCAATAGGAATCCGAAGAATGGAAAAAAGTTTAAAGATGAAAAAAAAATGTCCGATAAATTATTAAGAATATTTGAATATCAGTTCCTCAATACATATTCTACTGTAGAGAATCTCTCCTCAGTACCCATTCGTGCATAGACCCATGTTAGCTTTTCTCTGCTGATTCCATTCCCTGGTAATACTTTGTTTACTGTTGACTAACGTAACCAAGAACATGTTGACCACATTCGACTTTAGCAATCAGCCATCTAATGCACACACAGGCGAGTATTTGTAGATATGTTCAGCCATCAGATGTACACGTATGAGTGGCAAACAAAAGGGATTGACGTGACATTCCCTTGCCGTAAGACACCGCAAGCAGGTGGGGGTGTCTTGTGCCGTAGACAACTTCATTTTATGGGTCGAGACTAAAGACTCATAAATTTGCAGCCCACAAAAGGAAACGTATACCCCAACTGATGTATATTTATAAGTGTGTGGATGTGTGTGGATGTGTGCATGAAGCCATTCCAACTGCAATTAAGTAATTCTCACATCGTTTATGCAAAATACGTAAATTTTCCAGGCATTCTCCTAGTGTACCCTCATAGGGTAGATACAGAACGCAGAAGGCAGACCCCATGCCACATCCTTTCCAGTTCGGTTCTGGTGATTGCTCGCGTGCAACCTCAACACCCTTTGCTTGTATTCAAGTGGCCCATAAATTGTTGGCCAAGTTTTCACGGGGTCCGCCCACTTTTCGTTGCGCTGCTTTGACAACGGCAATTACCTTGAACTTTTCGCTGTTTCGCCCGGCCATATCACAAAAATTTATTTATACTCCACATATATACATACATATATATTTTTTTTGGCCATGGGCAGGGTTCATTTTCTGATCTCTTCGCATTTTGTCAGTTTAATTTTTGGTTTAGTTCACGTGCCCGCTTTAAATGAACCCAAATTGCAGGCCCATTAGTTCGGGGTAGCTCCGTAGGTAGCCGCCGCCGTTGCCGTTGCTCCATATGCATATTTCTTGAATAAACTGACAGCCCCGAAGCCATTTAAAACGGGTATGCACAATATATGTATAGTAAATATATTTTATAGGCAATCGTTTGCATTTTGAATATCAATTTTGGTGGCTCCTCTCGCCCTGCAGCAGTCCGTCTGGCTATCCAATCAATTTCGGCCTTTGGCTGCTGCTATCGACTGACATTTATTTTTTGGCCGCTTTATGAGACCGTAATTCGTAATTTTTGATTGCACTTTTTACTGTCAACGTTTAGCACACAACATTTGGGTCGTTGCAGAGCTTTCAGCTTCCATCAACAACTCAATAAAGGGAAAACCTTGTTAGCAATTTATTTTTGTGTGCTTTGATTTCCAATTGTCGATGGCTTGACAGCTGATCGATAGTTATTGTGGATTTGTAATGAGTTTATCATGCAATGTCGGCAAAGGAGTTCATATGTGGGCTTAGGGAAATCATTTGCTGTGGAAAAAGGAAGAAAAATGTTGCCACTTTAACTCTTAGGTGGAGTCCTTGCATGGGTAGGGAGTACTTATCATTTTGTTGTTCATTTCCTAGCCACGAAAATCACTGTTTCTTGTTACTCGTTTCATATACTCGTAATAATTTTTGTTATTTATGTTTTAGGTTTTAAACAATTTAAATTAATTTATACAGATGACAAATAATTTACAAGAAATTAAAGGAACACAAAATATCGGAGAATTCTCTTCTGCAGAGCTTTCTATATCTCCGCGATTACTTCTCCCTTTCGCGGTCCAGAGATCTCTCCCGCTCCCTTTCCCGCTCGCGCTCTCTCAGATACATCTGCTGCTGTTGGAGGAATTGTTGCTGCTGCTGCTGATGTTGCTGTTGGAAATGTTGCTGGTGCTGTTGCAACAACTGGTGCTGCTGCTGTGGGGTAAGTGCGGGTGGCTCCCCAGGTTGCTGCTGCTGCTGGAGAAACTGCTGCTGGTGCTGTGCCAACTGCTGCTGGAACTGCTCCCTCAGACGCTGATGCTCCTCGGCATCCATTTCGCTGCCGTAGTCCTCCATGTCGATCACTTCATCCTCGTCATCCTCCTCAATATCGTCGTCATCCTCAGCCTCCTCGGCATCCTCGTAGCTGTGCTGAGAGCCATCCTTCTGGGCATCGTCATCCCCATCGCCGCCACCGCCTCCGGAGGAGCTGCCCTTGTTGCTCTTGGTGTCGCTCCCATCGCCGCCCTCTTGTTGCATTCGCTTGTGCTTTGTCCGCCGGTTCTGGAACCAGACCTTAACCTGTTCCGGGGAGAAAGAAAGACACGGAGTTTAGATGGGGGTTACCTTCTGGGGGAGGGTGCTGGGTGATGGGTGTTTCTTTCAAACCCTTCTGCCATTTTATATTGTTTCCTCTGTTCTATGTTTTTTTTTTTGTCAAGTCGTAAATAAACTTAACGAGTCTTTTAATTCTATTTACGGCCTGCCTCTTAGCTATGCCCTCGCAGGCAGGGGTGTTAGTTGCCCCCGAGGCAAGTGCCCGTTGCACACCCCCGTTTTCCACCTCCTACTGCCCCCCTGATTGTGCTAATAACTCAGTAACTCCCGGCACTTCTTGGGCTAACGACCAGACGACATGCAATCACTTAGCTCCCTGCGAAGGGGTTGCACGAGTGCAGGAAGCGGCAGGGCGAAGACTGGGTTTGGTGTTTTTGGTGGGGGATACTTATTGAATTTGATGCGCATTAAGGGAGCAAAGGGTTGAGGTTGAGGTCTTGTGTCTTGTGTCTCCCACTCACCTGTGTTTCGGTGAGGCTCAGCCCTTGGGCCAGCTGCTTGCGCTCGGCCCCGACCACATAATGATTCCCCTCGAAGGCGTGCTCCAGCTTGAGCAGCTGCGTCGGCGAGAAGGCGGTGCGAACGCGCTTCGGCTTGCGGAACGGCTGGAACAGGAAATCTGAAAGAAAGATCAGCAGATGAAGCTAGTCAAATGGGGTGTTTTTTTAGGGGGTTGTATTTAGATCTATGGCGGATTAAATGGTGGCAAATTTGTTGATTTTGCATATTAAAATATATGTGAGATCCCAGGGATCAATGATGGAGTTATTTCTTCTTTAATCCAACATGGGCTTGATAGTTGTCATCCCTCATCCCTCATCTATACGCTCCCTTAAAACTGGTTTTCCAACTATGGCTGACAGCGTGACTGACACATATTTGCTAGCTCTTCAGTGCGGTAATTTTGTAATTTTGTGCCCCTTTCAGCCAGTCTCCTTTTGGGTTGTTGCAACAACGTTGGTGGCTCTCTGCCAATTAGATGACGCTGGGACTCAAATTGTTGATTATGATTTCCGCGAATGCCCCACAGCAAAGGGGCCGCACACACATATCCCACACACTCATTACAAAACAATAAACAAATTTCCAGACATGGCCCCCAAAACACAAAAGGCTTCTGGTTCGTGCCGCTGTCGGCGCTGTGTCTGGGCCATGTCCCAGAATCGCTGATAAGGCCAAAAAAATTGCCAGAACAGGCCAGGCCAGGCCAGGCCGAAGCCAGCGAGGCTCAGGCTCCGGCTCAGCTGTCCGCGCCTTCCCTGGACGCCAAGTCCAACACTTTAGCGCGCCTAAAAGCCGCCTCCTTGGCCCAGACCCAGGGCCGAGGCTCCATTGTTCTTTCTTTTGGCCAGGCACAACGTGATATTTTGACGTTTATCACGATTTCTGGAAGCGCAGACCCCTGCGACCACCACTCATCTGCCTCTTGTATATTTGCCAGTTAACAAATTTTCAATTGAGCCACAATTTGAATATTGATAACGAGGCTACTGTGCAAGATGCAGCTGAGATTTAACTCACAGGAGTGAGCAAAAAGATGATGGAATGTTGCCAATACATATGTTATTCCAAGGCAGCTTAAGAGCAGAGATGAAGATACTTTTGTGGGTAAAGCAAGTAAGTTGTTGCCTTGCCCTGAGAACCCTAGTATGCACCTTGGGTCCGGTGTTTGTGTAACCAGACTGGTTGTGGTTTAATTTCGTTAAAATATTAAGCTACCAGGCATCCTTAGCCCTTCTTCTTAAGATGGCTTAACATTTGATACAGTAATTCGATATCTAATACTAATCCCAGTGTAACTCTAATGCCAGACTTGTTGTGATATCATTTGGCAAACATGCTAAGCTACCAGAATCTATGGACCCCCACAAGGTGTGCCAATTACAAAATCAATATTGACATAGCAAAATGGAATCGAATTCGGTGACAGACCCATGCCCATGTCGGAAGTCTGATCTGTTCCACACACACACACAACATAACAGAAGCTAAGCCGCTGAGAAAATAAACAGCAAGTAAACTAAAGGTAAGCGAAAGGGCGCGAAGCTATTAAAAGTCAGAGGCAGTGTGGCAGTGGCAGTGGCAGTGTGGCAGGGTCTGAAATGTATCTTGTAACGCGTGCATTGTATCTTTGTATCTTGTTAGCGTGGCAGGGCCTAGAAAAACAATAGCTGCTGCAGCCAAAGAAAACCCTCCCAAAAACAGAAGGGAGAACTTGTCAATTTGACACTTCATAAATGCAGCCTCGGGCCATTGATGGCCATGTATCTGACAGATGCAACTGACTGGCTGACTGGCTGACTGACTGACTGAGTGAGTGAGTGATGCTGTTACCTCGTACTGTGCCTGTGCCTGAGCCTGAGCCTGAGCCTGAGCCTGTGCCTGGGTTTGGGTTCGTGCGTGCTTGGTTTTTGCTATGAACTTGACAAACGATTGCTGCATCCAGCAGCCTCAAGCTGATGCTGAAGCTGCAGCACCAGCACACTCGTAGACTCGTAGAATGATCTAGTTTTTTATGAACCCGGGCGATTTCTTGACATTTGTTACATTTGACAACTAACAATGTAGCTACAAGATACACGACTGCACGACTGCCCATCGCCTTAGATGTGCGATGTACGGCAGCTCAGCAGCTCGGTTGCTGTATAATTGATAATGCCGCCGCTCACAATGGCTACTTAATTATTTTTTCCCTCTTGTCATAGACAGCCATCGAAGTAGGAGTGGAGGAAGGGAGGGAGCTGGAGTCTCTTCACTCTGCAGAACTCAATGAAGTTCGCTGATGGTTTGGTTTTTTTTTCTCCCATTTGGTCACAAAGGAAACCGCCGTGCGAAAATACGCGCAATTGACAATTAATTGATGTGTCCGCTCGGCTGCCAATGTTGCATGTGTTGCTGTTGTTGCTGCTGCTGCTGTTGCTGCTGCAGTTGCTACTCTTGCTCACACCCTTGTCAGCTGTCATTTTTTTTATATATATATGTACAGATACTGTGTGTTTTTTGCCCATGATTGAAGTGCTGCCTCCATCGATCGTTTCGTTTCGTTTCATTTTCGTTTGTTCTGCTGTCCTGGCACTTTTTGTTCGCCTTATTATTTATCACTTATGTGCAATTGTATTTGTTTGCTTTTTTTTATGGAGTTAGGGCTTAATTTTTATGCTCTCATGATTTTTTCATTAATTTATTGCATTCCTGGCTTGGCCCGAGCCCGGGCCTGGCTTTGGGCTGTAAAGGACATTGACTGGGAATCGATAATTGAAATCAAATGTTCTGACAGTTGTCTGGGTATGTTTGGCCTGATCGATTCGATTGGGTTTTCCCATTTGCAGTTTCGGCATGAATGGGATTTTGTGGGTTTCTTGTGAGGATGATACTCATGAATGGGTGGATAGTTCTATTGGAATTGGATCAATCAGAGGGATTAGTTTACTTGGCAAGTGACTTCTGGCCTCGGCAACTAACTTTGGAATTTCTCTACGCAGTTAATCTAATTAAATAAAAATAAATTGAGTCGCTGCTGCACTTACTTGAGTTAACAAGCCTAACCAGTTTTGCTATCCCATATAGTCAAAGGTATTTGATTTCGTGTGTGTGTGTGTGTGTGACACCACTGCATCCTACACAAAAAAGGCTAATTTTCTCAGTCAAGTTTTGGCCTGATTTGGTCTGACATTTCGATGCTATATAAAATACAATTTTATAATTATAAATATCAGCTGGTACACAATATATTTATTACTTTTATATGAAGCCGCCAATTCGTAAATAATGTTACATATAATCAAACCCTAGTCAAGGACTCAATCTTAATCCCAACTCTACCCTTTGCTGCCTTCACCTTTTGGTACATTCACCTGCATTAGAAAAGGCACGCCCAAGAAAAAACTGAAGCACGTGCAACCCGAATTGAGTTGTTGACGCATCATCATCATCGCTATCGTCATTATCATTATCATTACATATGATTGTAGTACCCTTTCCATTCCATTTCTCTGATCTGTCTAACCGGGTATTACTCACGCGAGTTACAAAACAAACGAAGACGAGAAACATTTACAATTAATGGAATCGTTATGCGAAACATTGACATTTCACGTTCATAAATCAAGCGAAAATTACAGCCAGTCGAAAGAATGAAGGAAACATCGGGAGTGTGAGTGAGTGAGTGTGTGAGGTGGGGAAACAGAGCGGGAAATGGGTAAAGAGAAGGGAGAAAAGGGAGAAAATAATGAAAGAGTGTACAACATAATTAAGGCGTAACGGGGATACGTCGAAAGCAGGTGAAAGGCGTGTGAGTGTGCCGAAAATTATTAACTTACCCAACCCAGCACAGCCCGAAAAAAAAAACGGAGCACACAACATGTCAGAGCCGAACAAAAAAGATGCCATGAAAATTCAAATTATAATTATGGAAGCGGGGTATGGCACAACAACAAAAAAAAAAAATGCTTAAACAGTAATAAATGACAATGTTTTTTATTTGAGATGCGCTCTCTGCGGTCTGGCCCGGCCCGGCCCCCTCCCTCCCCACCTCCACACTCTACTTATCTCTCTCTCTATGGCCATCTCGACTGTTGCGTCGTTCTTTGGTTGGTTCTTTGGCCCAAAACCTCAATTAAAAACGCATTAACATTTCACTCGTTGCACTTTTTGGCCCCGGCTATGTTCAGATGAGTGTGAGTGTGAGAGTATTGTGTGTTACACATACGCCGCATGGGCCCAAACTGGCGCCCGTCTGTTTGCTGGCCATTAATGGTAATTTCGACTCCAGAAAAAGATATACATACGTACACTCATACACACATAGGACGGGCACACATGGCTGGCCATTTAGGTACGCTGCTTGACCTAACGATGTGTGTAATGTTGTTTAAACAATTTAATTAAAATGTAATTTGTTTGGAAATAGTTATCAAAATGGGTTTGGTTTTCTTTTCCTGGCTTTTTGGTTCGGTTCCCCATATCTTTCTCACTCTCTCTCTCACTCTCACTCACTCTCTAGTTAGTGCTCTGCTCTGCTGATGATGATGAGGCTGATAGACGTCTAATTAACTTGTAATAAATGTTTGCCATTTGCTTATTTAACTTTAATTGTATGGCACGGCATAGAGCAATGGCAACAAGAGCAGCTACAACAGCGATAACTGAATAATTGCTTGATTGAGGTTCTCCATATAATGCTAATGCGTGGTGGGACGTTGGTAGAGCAGAGGGCTAAGAATAGGAGTTTGGTTTGGATACTTTTCGTTTCACGGCAGTCAAGTTAGGAGTTTACGAATTTCTAAGCGGGTAATATATTAATAGATATCAATTTTATAGATTGATTTTCGGGAATTATAAAGAATCATTTCAGAGACCAAGAAACATCGACACATCAAAAGAACATCTATCTACTTAAATAGATGCTTCTATATTCGGTTTGTTGGTTTATTTAAAAACATTTATTCTAAATAGTTTCTGAATAACTCTAGTATACTTGAGAATCGTTTCTTATATTTTGAAAACCTTTAAAACTAATAGACAGTCTGTGTATGAAAGGGCCCTAATTAGTCTGGCTGGAAATGTTCTTACGTTTGCATAACTTTGGCTCATTTTAATTCCATAGTTTAAAGCCTTTAATCGGTTCACAATCGGTTCAGATATTAAGGAACATTTAGTTGTAGTTTTGCGAAAAGCATTTAATTTAACCGGTTTACCGCCTAACCGTTTGACTATCCCATAGCCCCATAACCGGTTCGATAACTGATAGTTAAATGTACTTACTGCCTGGAAAGCGTGGAAATATGCGTCCATGGCGACTCAGCAGCCAGGGATACAGCGGATAGCTATCACGGATGAGATGAGGAGCCGCCCCGAAGGGATGATGGCCATGGGGTGGCGGATGCCCTGGATGTGGCCCGCCCGGAAAGATGCCCAATGGGTGGCCGGGCGGCAGATGCGGGGGCGGACCGTGTGGCGGTCCTGTTGGCACGGGCGGATGAGGATGTTGCTGTTGTTGCTGTTGCTGCTGCTGCTGCTGGTGATGGTGCGCCAAGGCTGCGGCCATTTGAAACTGTGCGGCAAGGAACGGTGGCGGCGGCGGACCCGGCGGAACACCAGCCGGCGGTCGGACCACCACGGAGGAGGGTGAGGTGCGGGCCTGGGCGATTAAAGCTAGATTTGGCGGTGCCGGCAGTGCAAGTGGACGGATCAGACCTCCCATTATGCCGGCTGGCGGTGGAGGAGCGCCTGCGGCAGGATTTCCATTCCCATTTGTCGCTGGCGAGGGTGAGCGACTAAGCGGCGAACGCGGCGGACTCCGCGATCGATCCAGCGAGTCACGTCTGCGGCAGTAGATGAATCCTCGCGGTGTCCTCCGGCCGCTGGTCGTGGGCGACGAGGGACTCTCGCTCCGTGGCGGCGAGGCAATCACACTGACTCTCAGGGGAGCCGATCGCGTCGTGGACTCGCCCACAATGGAGTCGATGCTGAAGGCCAGCTTGGGCTTGCTGGTGGCATTCGTCGCTGCCGTCATGGTGGTGGCGGAGATGGGCACGGATACGGATACGGCCGGGGCTGCCGGGGCTGCTGTGGGCTGCCGTGGAGGAGCTGCTGACAAAAGGACTTGTCGGCGCCATTGGCAGCATGTTGAACGTTTGACGGCCGCACGTGACCATTTGGCGTAACGGTTTCCGATAGCGCGATTCGAGGGAGTTTTGTTGGCGGGCTAATTGAATATTGGGGAACGGAACGGAGTCTCGTTCGAGTACAGTAGTCACTGTCTAATCACAAGCACATACACACACACACACACAGTACACACGCGCACATGGGACAGACTCAGAGAACAGAGAACAGAGATAGGGTTCAGCGATTGGCATCCGCCGGACTGACATTGATAAACTGGATCACCGGAGAATGTCGTCGCTTGTGGCTGTGTCTCAAACTGGGACTGCGACTACTGCAACTGCTACTGGCACTCGGACTGGGACTCTGGGATGTGGGTTTGCCGTCGCTGGCGAATGGAGCGTAACGGTGCCGCTTCAATGGAGAATCGGCGGCGGGTTGAACGTGGACGACGTCGATTGCGGTTGCCGCGATGATGAGCACTGTCAACGCCATTAGCATTATGGAGCGTCTAAAGGCGTCTAATTGTCCACAGCGCTCGGCCGCTCCTCTCTCTGCAGTCCACAGTCTCTATCTGTATCTGTATCTGTATCTCTCTCTCGCTCTCTCTCTTTCTCTATCTCTTTCCTTTTGGGCTGCGTAAGTTGTGGGGGCGTCGGCGAATCGTTTCGAATCTCGCGGTAAGCGTCGCGTGGATGCCGCCGCTCGAGTGTCGCTGGCACACAGTCTCAATGCCCGTCCAGGGCCCCTTCACGGGTTTGTTTCTGCTTCTTTGCTTCGCTGCCGCTCCGATTGCGATGCCTTCCAGTGTGGAGCATTTGGGGAGCTCTGTCACAACTGTCGTCTCGCTCGCTCACCGCTGCACGGGCGCATGCGCCAAAGCAGCGCAGATGAAACTCAGCGAACGACAGAAACCTGCTCCCCCAACCATGTGGATAGTCGTGTCTCTCGCCCCAACTACTCCCCCTTCCAATGGCTATGTGGTGTTGGTGCTGGCGCTGGTGTTGGTGTTGGTGGAGTTGCCCGACCAGACTAGTCTCTCGCTCTCTCTCTCACTCTCTCTTTCTCTCTCTTGGTCTCGCTCTGGCTCTGGTTGTGGTTCTGCCTTTGGCTCTGACGCTCGGCTCTCTTGGCCATTTTTCGCACCAGTTTATGACAGCGAAACAAACAATTTGCGCTAAACAAAACAGCATCATTAAAGCGTTTGTGGTTTTAGTGCCAAGCGAGCTTGGCCAGTCGTCCAGGGTCAGGGGAGGGTGCGGTGCGGTGTGCGAGGTGCGAGGTGCCAGCTGGCACTGTGGTAACAAATTACTGAATTCAGTGAGCATTAAAAGGGAGCAGGAGAATTCGATAAACTATTTGGAATAAGTTGAAATATTCGCTAGGGTTTGACAGTTCTATTAAAAATAATTTTTAATTTACAGGAATATTAATTTAGAAAATTTCATAGTTTTAAGCTGCCTCTCATAGGTAACTGCATGTACGTCATGGAACTTTAAAGTCCTAAATACTTGAGCTAAATTAATTGATATTTAAGGACATATCTGAATATACATACTGAATTCCTTTTTTTTCATTTAAAATATTTTCTGGTATTTATTTTACTATAAAAGTTGCTGGAATTTCTTTTCATAATTTCGAGAAAGCTTTACGGAGTCGCTAGATTTAGTAGAGTTCCTGAAAGTGTTGCTTTCCTCACACCGTGATAGTTTTCCTCCATTTCCCATGTTATGTATTGCCATCCACTGTGCCTGGGCATCAGCGTCATAGACGCCTCGTCGTCAGTGGAGGCTACCCTACCCCTACCCTACCCCTTTTACCAACCATACCCAAACCCCACCACCATCCCCTGCCCACCTTCCCTTTGAGCGTTTGCCTTGCCACCATTCTGAATTGGCTCGAATTGGCATCTGCATGATGTTGGTCGAAAGAAGCATTTGAACATGAAAATGGGCGGTAACTTGGTTTCTTCACCTTCCAGCAAAGCTGCAACTGCTGGCGCATACTCACACAGATACAGATACAAACTCACACAGATACTGGAAACGCTCTCAGAGAGTTGCATGTTTGCTGCCCCAGTGGATGGTCATTCTCGTTCTCATTCTCGTCCTCATCCTCTTCTGGCTGAGAGTTGTGAAAATAAACACCTCGTTAAAGATGCAGGAGGAGGCATAAAACATGCAGCGCCAACAACGCTGCCTCTCATAGGTAAATACACCCAGACATATACAATATACGAGCGACCGGCCCGGCCCGGGCCGGCCCCACCCCTAGCGCCCCATAATCTGCTGACTCCATGGCGGGGCATGAGGCATGAGGCATGAATGGAGCAGGACAGAGTGGGGTGCAGAGTGGAGTGCAGAGTGGAGGCTGGCAAATAAATTGACGTGCGCTTGGCTGGATTTGTATGCATCTAGATAAGGTTTCCCTGTCGATGGTCGATGCTGCCGCAGATGCTGATGCTGCAGCAACTGGAGTTGCATCTGTATTCTGCATCTGTGTATCTGCATGCCTCTCCAGCCGTGTGTCTTTCCGTGTGCTGTGTGCTGTGTGCTGTGTGGCACCTCTGGGTGCGGTAATTGTAATTGGTTTTTATTTTTCGCGTTTGTTCCTGCCTTGTGGCCGAGAGTGTTTGGCCGGGGCTGCCTCACGTTTCGGGATAAATCATTTAATTAGCCAGACAATGAGCAGGGGAGAATGGAGCTCTGTGGCTCTCCATCACGGCCAAACTAGAGGTTATCGATCGCCAATCAATGATTTTCGGGGGGCGTACACTCGCATTCGGCATTTACGTTCAATTGAAATATGACCTGGAGGTGGATCCGCTGATAAAATGCTTCGAAATGCCTTGTTTATCAGTTAATAAATGTATGCGAATGATGGGAGTATTTTGCTTCTTTTTTTTCTTGCGAATTAAATCTTAAATTTTATCTTGTACTGGAGAAAATCAAAAGAAAATCAATTAATTCTGTACAAAAAATTGATTGATTGTTAATATTAACCCCATTGATATGGAGCATTCTAGAGCTTCGTTCAAATAAATTGGTAGGGGAATTATCAAGTACAACATTTGGCACCAAATGAAGTGAAGTCTACGTTTATGCCATGAAACTCATCAGATTCAGATTAATGAAAGGGATTTAAAAATGTAAACTTTATTATAATATTTTTTTACTTTATAAAAGATTTAATATCATGGCATACCCTAGATTAATAAGGAAACATTTCGCTAATTACCAGCATCATGTGTAATTTAAATAGTACCTATAAAGAGAAAGATTTCGCCAAGTTCCTCTCGCAGTTGTTTTTTTAGCACTGTCACCAAAATATTATATTTAACCCTAATGTAAAATATCCGCTTCATATAAACCACCAATTATCACACACTATCAAATACACACACTTCTCCAAACTTTTCCCATGCTAATTAAAGTCGGTTTTAAACCAAAAAATTACATTCTTCCAGTGGAGGTTCCACCGCTGATACCATCCTAATCCTATGTACCAGCTCGTATAGGAATTAGCTGCCTTTTCTTTCCTCTCTGCACATAAGACGCTCTCGAATGGAATCCACAAGTTTCCATGTTCCACAAACAGACAGGCAGATAAACTCGCAGCTGCCGTTGATTGGCTGTCCGCTCTACCCATGCAGGTCCGAGTGAGACAACAGTATAGGACTTACAAGTATATGCTAACAAGGGGTGGGACTGTTAAATGAGTGTGCCTGGGAAAGAGTCGGGTGGAGGGGGGACGGGCGACGCTGCTGCTGAGAACGTATAAATCCAATTCATTTAATAATTGCCAACGAGATGGAGCTCATTATCACGAGTACTTTGCACGGCTTTGCCTGAGTCTACGTCTACCCGGAGCATGAGGGGGGGAAATAAAATGGGGATGGAAGCTTATGTGGGGAGGCTGTGGCTGTGGCTGTGGCTGTGACTGTTGCTGGTGTCTGTGTCTCCCCAGTATTACTTATAGAAATACGTATATAAATTTAGCAGAAAATCAGTAAAAGTTTCAACAGTTTCGGTTCGGCGGATACCCTGTGCCTTAAAGGGACTGCATTTTGGATAGGTTCTACATTAATTTCTACGTGTTACTGCTTTATATTCGTATTCTTTTCAGCGTAGTACAAATTAATTCCGTTTAAAAGGTGACTTCACGGGTCAAAGATTTTGATTGAAATTTATAATAAAATATATTTCTTTCTACCAAAGAGTTTTTTGTTAGATTTAATTTTCGATTCGATTTTCATTTGGATGAGATTTTAGGTTTTTGAAATAGTTTGGAATAAAACAAATAATAACCATTAATGAAGATGCTCTTGTGCCTCATACGAGTATACCCTTGGCCATAAAGTGGTATGGGCTAAAAATTGATTGCGCCGCCTAAGAGTTTTGTGCTAATGCTCCACTGTTCCTGTCTGTATTTGTGTGTATATATGTGTGTATCTATGTGTTGCTGTGCATCTGTGTGGGTTTGTCTCGTTAGCGTTTTTATTAGACGCGCAAATGGAAGCCCAGAGCACTGAGAGGCTGAGACTTGGAATGGGGCTGAGCCTGAGACTCAGACCAAGACCGAGACCGATGTCTGATGCCTGATGCTTGATGATGGCGACGGCTTTTCATTGTCAATTAAAACAGCTTCTTGTCTGTGTGGAGAGCTGATGGACGATGATGCAGGGAGGATGATGCTGATGGTGGTGGATGGTGGCTGGTGGATGGGGGATGAGAGGCATGCGGCATGCGGCATGGCGGATGGAGATGAATGTCTGACTGTTTAGCGAAAGCATAATTGCCACAAGGGTTGGACCCATCAGACATCGCCATAGCATAGCCATCGCCATTTCCATCTCTGTCACACTCTGGGGTCCGTGTTGACACAGCTAATTGGCTTTATTTGTTTTAATAATTGAGCATTTTTGGCATCGGCCCTGGGCACTGATTTAATTAAAAATTTCCACGCTCATTTCACTGCCGGAGTCGCCCCTTCGAAAGGGTTGCCATGCTGCTGCTGGTTGCTGTCGTGACACTTTCCGTTTGTTTGGCTCTAAGGAAATCGAAATTGAATTTTAATGGCGTGGATTTAGTTCGAGTTCCATCGGTGTACTTCCGTCGAGAGACTTAATTAAGTGCAAATAAATATTTTGCAACTATTTGGAATGCTTAGTCGCAGATCAGGAGCCGTGCC